TTGTTTCATGTTTATCGTATGTTTTTTTAATGTGTCTTATATGTTTTTACATGTGCTAATAATCTTTCTATTTCTTTACCATGGATCTAACAATGAAAGCTGGCCTTGCGATTCAATCTGAGATAATAATTATGTGAAAGTCAAATGCACTCAACTTGATTGATATGCACTGTCCTTTATTTAATGATCATAAACTTTTTCAAAGCTTTTCTTCTGTGACTAAAGGGTTTTAAATTCAAAATGGAGAGATTTTTTTTTGTTTTTATTCTATATCTGTGTGTATATTTGCCATTTTCAAATTCAGCCCTTTATATTGTTCTACAATACCACACCTCATTGTGTGGCTGTTCATAAAACAACAGCTTCCAGAGACTGAAAGCTATTTGGCTGTGGTTTTCCTGATAATCTATTAGTGCTTCAATTTAGTTCTTAGTAATAACATGACTAAGATTGTCAATACTTGCATTTTACATTTGGTTACGCATACACCAACATGAACTGCCTTGTACAAAATTAGACTTTATAAAGAAAAAAAATGTCTTAAAGCAACAAGTCACATGGTTCCAGAGAACAGAAATCTTTCCAGTTAAACTTTCCAAGACATGTTGGGGCAAGACATTAATAAGCTTGAGGTAAAAAACCATTTGCAGGGAAATGTCTGGAGACAAAAACAATTAAAGTATTTTTAAACAGTCTCTATTTATTCTGGTTCCTGTGAATCTGTATTAATGGGAACATCCAGGTCAATTCAGTTTATTTATATAGAGCCAATTCACAACACATGTTATCTCAAGGGACTTTACAGATACAATTCAACCAGATCACACAGTCAAATTGATTCAATTTTTTCTGTCTAAGCAATACCAGCTGATTGCATAGACTCATTGACTCGAAGGCAATCCTCCACACCAAGCATGCCTGTAGCGACAGTGGAGCGGAAAACTCCCTTTTAACAGGAAGTAACCTCCAGCAGAACCAGGCTCAGTACGAGCTGCCATCTGCCGAGGCCGACTGCGGTTCAAGGAGACAGAAGTAGATTTAGAAAAAGAAGCAGAGATACAAAAGGCAACTGTCAACCAGCTCCACAGGCAGCCCCATCCAGGAAACTTGCAGTCAGGCAGACAAGCTCAAAACCAGCTCCCTTGTCAGAGGATGAAAGAGAGCACATACAGTTAATCACAGTCAGAGAACCAGGCATGCACTGAAAAACAGGTCTAGCTCCAACATCTATAAACAAAGGTGTTGATGGCAACATCACAGTTGATATTTCTCTCCAGGATGGTGTCACAGACAAACAGGAACAGAGCAGATGAAGCTACTATGAGAAAAAGCAGATAAAGATCGAAATAACATATTCTGCAGAATGGGAGAATGGAGATAGAATAAAGCAGAATGATGAAAAAAGTGGTACCTTTGTCCTCCAGCAGTCTAAGCCTATAGAAGCATAACTATAGAAATAGCTCTGGATAACCCAATCCCCTCTAACTATAGGCTTTATCAAAAAAAGGAAAGTTTTAAGCCTACCCTTAAAAGTAGACAGGGTGTCTGCCTCATGGACTAAAACTGGTAGTTGGTTCCACAGGAGAGGAGTCTGATAACTAAAAGATCTGCCCCCCATTCTACTTTTAGATATTCTATGAACCACTAGTAAACCTGCTGATTTAGAATGAAGTGCTCTTTTAGGAACATAAGGACCAATCAGATCTCTGATATAAAATGAGGCTTGGCGATGTAAGGCTTTACATGTGAGAAGGAGGATTTTTTTAAATTAAAACTCCTTGGTACTCAACAGAAGGTTTAGAAGAAGACTACGACAGATAAACCAAATAGCAAAGAAAAAAGTATAGAAAATAAGATGATCTAAAAGTTACAATCTTAAAAGTAGTGATAAGTAATTCTTCTTCAATGTCCAAAAGTGGGAACATTACCTTTGAAAACCAATAAACCAAAATGAGATGATCTGACTAAGAAACCTTGTCATCTACCAGATAGTTCCATATATATGTTCAGAAACTGTTTAGCTGTGCATATTACAACAGTTTAAGCTTATAGCATATATAGTTGTTATACATTTGTTTGCAGGAGTGTTAAATGAGAGACAAAATTACCCTCTTTAACTGGCCTGTTTTACAGAGCTGTAGACAAATTTGGAACAATACTAATTATGTTGTCAGAGGAAGGTTTTGCCGGGTTGAGCTTTCCCACTTTGGCTTTCTTCTACTGTGAATGCAAGCAAGCTCAGCTGAGTGGATACTTATTAAACTGTCATTGCATGTTTTTTTTCTTCCAAAGAACGTTTATTCCAGGCTGAATTGTCCAATTTTCTGTTTAGATGAGCGCTGGTATTTATGTAATCTGTGTTTTTACTGCTGCTACAGTGGTGCTAAAATCAACTCTTTTTTTCATACCTGATGGTGAGCTAGTCAGGAGGTTAACCTGTCTATATTCTAATTTCAGTCACCTTTCAAAAATAGCTTTTAAGCACTTGTATCCAGGATCTTGTTCTTTCAGTCATTATCCTACATACATATTGGGTATGTGAGAATCAGAGCATCGAAGGATCAGTAAATGGAGCTCTTAGGTTTTTACCTCAACTCTTTCTTGAAAATAACAGACCAGATCTTTACCCTTAACATTTTCAGAGAGGCTCAAATCAGTCTATCTGTCTTCTACTTCATTCCACCATCACTTGTCCCCAAGGCAGAGAAATTTAAACGCTTTGCTTCATGTGGGGTCTGACTCCCCACCTGGAGGAAGCAGTTCACAATCTTCCAGTTCAGAAAAAACAAGAAAACCACAACATCAGGTCAAAGCAAAAAGGAGACCCTGGTGTTCCGGAATCAGACACCATGACCTCACCATGATATTCTGTCTATTTGCACCTAAAAAAAAATTGGATTCCAAACTGGCACAGAAACACCTCTGCTTTGTGCAAAAACTACAGACACATTTAATGTCTTATGTGATTTAGTTAAAACAATGTTAGCACAAACCAGGGACATTTTTAGTCTATTTCTAACAAAATATATTTTAGAGCTTTATTATCCAGATCTTGTATGTAAGTATGATTTATTAACTTTAGAATCAAAAAGAATGCAAAGAAGTACAGTTAATCCTAAAATAATTAGTTCCAGAATTAGTAGAAATGGCTGGTTTGATGGAGGGAAAAAAATGCAGGCTCCTTACATTGCAGGAGACCCAGTGCTTAACAGATTGAAGAGGTACTTAAGTTAACCTTTAAGTTTTTATTCTTTATTTTTTACATTTTACATTAAATCATTGTTCATTTTTTCCCCACTTTAGGTAATTATAAAT